GGGGGGGGGGGGGGGGGGGGGGGGGGGGGGGGGGGGGGGGGGGGGGGGGGGGGGGGGGGGGGGCACAGACATGAGTTTCGTGGAGTTTGCCAGGAGGTTGGTTGCTTGGACACGCTTTTGCTTGGGATACATGCCAAGTTGGGATACCTGCCAAGTTGGCGTTTGGTTCAAGTGCCAGGCTGACGGTGCTTGGGCAAGACCTTGTATGCCGGTGTTGAGTGGAACCGATCCTTTGAGTTTAACTTTTCTACACACAAAAAAAAACACAACCAATCTCATCTCTATCCACAGATGAACGTCCGGGAAAGACTCGCAATGAATCCATCGCGTTAGCGGACACTGCCTGTGCTGGCACGATTCCTTGAGGAGCAGCGTATCGCGACATCTCCCCTGCGTTTTGACAGGCTCAAGAAACTAGTTTGGTATGTTTTGGAGGTCTGTCTACCGGCGGGACTTTTAGGTAGGGTGCGCCGCGCGACGCGTGAGTGGGCGTCCCTTACATCGTCCCCAAATGTTCGTCGAAGGAAAAACGGCAAGTCCTTCTCACCGCCGAGGTGATGCGGCGTCATCACAAATGAGAAAACAGACACCTAGTAAGTTTTTGTGCGGTGTGTGTGTGTGTGATTCAACCCTCTCGGGAAGTCTTTTGGGCCGTGTGATGTCTGTTTTGAAGTACTGCATTGTATGCATACGTACGAACATAGTGGCACGAGCTCAGCACAGATAGGCCGCACACAAGCGCTTCTCCTGGTGGAATGATCCAGACTAGCTTTCCGGTCGCCATGCGAGAAGGTTAGCCAGGGATACCCGATCCCTCCTTCACCCTTCTTCTAAATGACCCGCTGCACAGATCTGGAAAAAATGACCCCGTGTGTGCCCTCGTTGTATGTGATGCATACACACATTTAGCGTGATTTTGATGCACCCTTTGCTGCTGTCGGCGCAGCAGTGAGTCAAGTGTGGACGATCCGTCACACGTGTCGACGCATCCACAAAACTATCTACGGCCGTTGAAGACACCCAAAAAATCTCCGCACCTACCCGTTTAAGCGTCGTACCTTGCAGTTCTCCTCGTCAACAACAGAAAACGCGCACGACAGCTGTAGCGTGAGGTTGGCTGCACTCTACTATCTAGTACAACGAGGAGACGGCGTCGCAAGGCCTTCACCAGCTGCCTGCCCACCGGGTCGAGCTGGTGCCAATTCCTGTGCGTGTGTTGGTGATGACATCCCGTCTACGCCGACGCCAGGCGACACATTTCGGAATAAATTTTGGCCGCATGTTGACGCACGTATGAATACTTGTACGCAAATCATCCGGGCAGCCGGGGTCACAAAAAGCAGGAGCCTAGGCAAAGTATGGATACGGATTTTGTTTTTGTTTTTGTTTTTGTTCCACTTTACGCGTGCTGGCTTGCTCTCGATTGTTGTTACAATACGATATTTTCGCGAAAAGGGCCCAGCCCGCCCTGCCACTGCTGTGTACACACATATATATATACTTATATATTGCTCACGAATGTAATAAATCGCTTCCAACACAACAGCAAAGTCGCTCACTCCCTAGAGGGATTCGAACCCACAATCGTTCGAAGCAGCACAAGTGGACGAGGTTAAAGCAGCACCTGCTAAATAATTGTAGAGGCAGGACTATCCAATGACGCCAACCGGCTTCATCGGGATAATTCAACTCTCGCCTGCCTCCCGGAGGTTGAGAGCTGCTTATATTGGGGATTGTCGGTGTTTCATTCTTACGGTGCTTTCGTGGACAGACCAAGCGCGGGTGTTTGACAGTGCAGCAGTCGACTCGCAAGAAGGCTGAACACGGCTAGGCCTGTCCTCCATCGGCCGTTTTATTTTCGATTTAGATACACAAACTTTATTTCTATACTAATTTCAAGTAATTCCACCTTCTTATTGTCCGTCATACAAGCAAAACGGCCGATGGAGGACAGGCCTAAACACGGCAGGCGCCGCGTCAAGGTGGTCGGAATACTTAATGATGCACACAGGCCAGTGACACAGGAGCACAGCACAGCGTTTTGTTTCCTCTTGGCGTTCTTGAGTTCTTGAGACGAAGAGATCGTCAGCTGTACGGGGTAACCGAGGGGTCGGCGAAGTAAACACCGACATACTCGTTGGCGTAGATGGTACCTGAGAAATGGAACAACCTCCACCATCTAGACTACAGCAGCAGCAGTGGATACCTCGGACCAACAGGCAGGCACACTTGAAGCTCCGGGCGGCGGATCTTGGGAGCCGAAGCAGGTGTGCATGATATGGTTCTCATCGGGCTTTTTGGTTTTTTCCTTCCCTTGTGTGTTCTAGCTGCTTCCCACACCAAGCTGTTGGTATAATGATTCGCAACCACACCTAGAGGTTGACTGATACTGGCGCTGACGCTGGATATACATCTGCCCTCGAAACCGTCACGTTCCTCTGACTGCTACTCTGCTGTTTCTATGATAGAGCGAAGGAGGAGAGAGCTTGAGAGGAATTCGCCCGTTCATGTTGAACTCACCTTTCCTTTTTGGCGGTGAACGGCTGCTGCTGCAGCCCAAGAGAGCACACCACTTTCCAGAGACTGCAACGCTGCAGGCGTTCCCGTCGAGCCTGTACTGTTGTATGATCAACGCTGGGTGGTGCTGCCGGAGAGAACAACCGAGCGCAATTGCTAGGAGGCTGCAGCCGTAAAGTACGTGCGTGAGAGGAGAGCAGTGCCTGCCAGCACCTGCACGAAAGAGAGGCTCCCCAAAGGAAAATATCAAGCGGGGTGGTCAACAACGATACTGTCTGGGATGCCCCTGGACAGGCCTTTGCCCGTGAGCAACCCAATGCAATCCACCCTTGCGCACCCCCTACAGGAGCGAGGGCGACGGAGGATCACGGACGAAGTGGAGAGGGTGGTGCGTGCTCAATGTTGTTTGGCTTTAACCTGCTGTGGAAGCTCTTCAAGGCTGGGCTGCTGACCACCAATGCCGTAACAATTCTCCACAAGCAGCGCTTCTTGAGAAAATGTGAGGGGAGGAAGCACAGGGTTACTCCGCGTCTCTCCCGTATGGAACGATGGAATCAGTAGGGCATGTGGAGTACACACAGAGATCAACAAAGCACGACGTTGCGATCGATAGAGAGAAAGGAACCCACCTACCCAATAGGAAGCAGGCTACATCATCCTAAAATAGCCTGGTGGGTACGGAAGGCCAGTGGACGTCGAACACGGCCGTGGATGCAACAACTGCATCTCGAAGTCGCTTGTACAACGACGATACAACAGTATAGAGGTCGACGGGACGATGTCTCGTTTTTGCTTGGAGCACCGTGCTGAGCTCTCTGACCTGCATCATTTCAGATTCTATGATGTTGTCGTCTTTTATCATCGTCGTGTTGGGCAATTTGGACTTCGAAAGTTGAACTGCAGCACAGAGTAGTAGGGAAGATTATGGAGTGAAGACGTTTAGACCTTCGGCGTCCTCTTGGACAATCAATCCGCTACAGCTACAGCAGTATCTAGGAGACTTGTGTACGTTGAGACCCGGGTTGGCGAGAAACGCGCAGCACGCTGGCCTCCATGCCTAGCTCCCCTTTTGAACCGCGCCACCAGTTCCTTGTTGGAACATTGGAACGCATAACACCGAGAGCGTTACACCTGTCGCTGGTCCCTCGCGTGTGCCCTTGAGCGTCCGCACCCCCCCACCCCCCCGGGGGTACTCTCCCTCACCCTTCATATTTTGCCGCGTTTGCATATCCTTAACAAACGGCAAGATATAAAATTCTCTCCCCTTTCCCGTCGCTTTTGACGCCCATGTGCGCACGGTTGCACCTCGCCAGCAGTTGTAGTCTGTCCCCCACCAGCGCGGTAGCCTTCGTGAGGATGTTTCACTTGGTTTTAGTAGGGGTTACGGGGTTGTGTTAGGGCTACAGTAGGTCAGTCCTTCGGGCGACAGACACGGAACCCCCCGCGCTCAACGAACGTGACCTCGCAGATCGGCTCGACGAGGTGGACCACTCGCCATCGGCCTCGGCGATGAAGAACCAGGTGGTGGGCTTGATCGCGGCGGTGGCTTATCTCCGCGGCCCGCTGATCGTCCTCAACTCACTCACCTGCGTCATCGCGATGCTCCCATGACATACGTCATCGTCGCAAGCCGAAAAGGAGTTCCGTAGTGTATTTGTCGACTCCTAACGTGTTTCATTGCATACGTCGGTCGCTCATGGTGGCAAGTACCATACATTTGAGGTGCTTTACATCAGCATGTTCGCCGGGGGGGGGGGGGGGGGGGGGGGGGGACGNGGGGGGGGGGGGGGGGGGGGGGGGGGGGGGGGGGGGGGGGGGGGGGGGGTAGACTTGCTTGACTAACGTGCGATGGAAATACGCGACGGTTCAGTATCGTCGGCGTGATGCGAGTGGCGCGTCTTGTTGTTCTTGTTGTTGTAGGCTTTCGCCAAGTTTTGGAATGAATGTAAACAGTTTTGTGTTTACGGTGCGACGACCGTTAGCGCCTTTTCCTGTGCCCCGGGGCCAGAGCGCGCTCGAGCTTACCTATAATACGACAATCGGGGCGTGGTGGAAACGAGCGAGGGCCCGGGAGTGTGGGGGAGAGGGGGCGAAATCCTCTCGCCTTTTCCGTTTCACATGTGCATGGTTTGTCTGCGACGCCGTTTGCTCTCTCTCAGAGCACAGCGTTGAGCGCGAACGTCGAACTAAGCACGACGCTACTTGCATATTCAGTTCTCGCCAAGGTGGAGGGAGCACTCCCGTGTGCACTTTGTTGTTGACGGCACCTCCCATACACACGCACTAAGAATCTAGTCCATCTTGCCACCTAAGTGGGATGCGTGCCTTTCGCCCCCGCTGCTCCCATTGCATGGCGGTCCTCAAGTTTTGTTGCATTGCACGTTGCATACTAATCGTTGCTCTTCCCTGGGAATTTCTGGGTATTTCAAGGCTACAAACGTACCTTTGGAACCGTTTTACAGATCGGGGATCGCCCGATCGATCCATCTGATCTCGACCATACGTGGCGGTTCTACGAGATCGGGGACTAGGAGTTTGCAATAAATTGGGTGATCGCCCCATCTCGCCTTTCGTTAGGTGAGCTTGATGGAAGAGCGGGCGTTCGTATCCATTTTGCTCCCCCGCAACATCTCACAACACGAATCGGTTAGCCATCGACAGCATTTGGACTCGAGACGTGGGTCCTTGAACAACTACTTCCTTGTTTTTTAGCTTCAGTCGCCGGGATGTTTTGTGACACCGATTCCCAAGGTTCCTTCATTAGCTGGCGTGGGTGGCAGCATATGCGGGTAATAACCCTGTCATTGTCAAGGACCGAAAACGTGACACCCCAATCTTTGCAGCAGTCCACTTGTCTGCAGAATCTAACGACGTCGATGCGGGTTATACTTGCGCTCTATGCCGTGGGATATGTTGCAAGGTTTGATCTTCGTAGAAATATCAAGCGCCTCAAGATAGGGACGTGCCGACGCATGCATATAGACGGAGGTGGGGGATGCTCTTCGTGAACAGCCATGGACCACCCATAGAACATGGCACGCTGTCTCAAAACCGCGTTGAGTAAAACTCAAACTTGGTCAAAACCCTTGGTAGGAGCCGCGCCGGGCCGAAATGTGGAAGGATCTATAAGGGAGAAAGTGCCGCCGCATGGTATGACAACCCGAGTAGCAAAAGTCATTTTTTTCTCGCGCTAAAACCTCGTTCCACGATGGAACCACCCTGTTCGATATGCTGGCAACGGATTTTGACCACAACGAACTCCAAAAGAAGGATGTCGTGGTCTTTTAGTAGCAGGAAGAATCAAAGAACGAAAGTCGTGTTTTTGGCGTGTGCACGAATATAATCGAATCGGAGGTCGATTCGGTATTCTCGAACGGGTTCGGTCAGGTCATTATCTTCAGCTCTCCCCCCGTTTTGGTTTGGTTTCAGTGGTGCATGGCTTTCATTTGCGTTGTTACCACATAAACCTTCAGGACACCAAACAAGTCGCGTTTCCTCTCGCCAACCAACGACACAATTGCCGAACAGTCACAAGAGACAGACGGGACAACAAGATTACACGGCTAAGGGTAGCAGGGTTGGAGAGAAGAGACAAGACGCCAGCTGGAGAGGAGGAATCGAGCTGGTGCAAACAAAACGGATACGAGCGGTCAAGCATCAGTCTTTGTTTGATCATGTGCTCGCTCGGTCGATTCGACATGCCCTCGACGGCAACGTGGTATGCATATGACTGATGGACCGCAGCGGTCAGCCTCACGGGGCAAGGACCAAACACAACAATGCAATTGAAAAAAAGGTTACAGAACACGAGCCACACCATATCCCAACAATTCCCACAACAGTACATCGTTCGCGTCGTTCCCAAGATATCAAAGGGGAGGGGACTGACTGCACGAGAGCTAAGGTAGAGATGAACGGGCCGAAAGATCGATCGAGACGACGCTTCTTGGATAGCGGACAGAAAGAGCTCCGCAACATTGCCAGCAACAAAGGATTGTGGATCAGTACTTGCTGTTTCCCGTCCAATCGTGGACCGTCCCCACGTTGCTCTTGCTCTCGGCATACTGACTTGAGAGCGTTACAGCAGCGCGGCCACGTCTTCAATGCGCACCCGTTAGCTACCGGAATGACCAACCGCGTCCAGCAGTATAGGTGAACACGTGTCGTGCTGTGAGGTGGATACAGGGTAGGTGCTGTGGTGTGGTTGTTTAGTTGTGGTTATGGGGTGGGGCAAGTGGGGGGGGTTGGATCCCCACTCGAATGAGAGACCGATCTCGATGTGACTGAAACACATTTTGCGCCAGCCAATCAATCCCAGGGTAGTGTTCATGGTGAATATCCACCTGGGCCACGTTCGCGTCTATACCCCTTCCGCCGACAACTCACGATGTGAATGCCACCTCAGACTGTCGTAGATTGTGACGTCAGATGACCTGTCGGAGACCTACCTTCGGGGTGTTACCACAGATTAGAGTCAGTGCAGGTTGGATGCTGAACCTTGCTTCAACACAAGGTTGATCCCCACCTGCCTCACACACACACTCGACTCAACGTTCCCTACATCAGCCTCTCAACCAGAGGTTGATCCGGTANATGCCACCTCAGACTGTCGTAGATTGTGACGTCAGATGACCTGTCGGAGACCTACCTTCGGGGTGTTACCACAGATTAGAGTCAGTGCAGGTTGGATGCTGAACCTTGCTTCAACACAAGGTTGATCCCCACCTGCCTCACACACACACTCGACTCAACGTTCCCTACATCAGCCTCTCAACCAGAGGTTGATCCGGTACGTATCCACACCGCCCATCCCTAAGGGAACTTGCTCACACGCGAACCTGGAGACAACAGCAGTCTCATAGTGGCGTCAGCGGCATACGAATGTGGTCTGCGCTGGGTGTGTGGCGATGCACCTAACTGAGCTGCGAGGTGCTGCCTGTAGCAGTAGGAGCAAGGGATGCATGTGTGTGCACAAAGAGTTTGCATACTCTCGGCGTCCGTATATAAATTACATATGAGAACATCCAAAACAACGCTCAGAACCCAGAATACTTTCCCCGTACACCTCCTGTTCATGCACGCCACGCAGCACCGACCCGACAAGTCTTAGTCCAAGCCCAAAAACAAGCCCTACGATTGGATCTTTGTGACACAGCTACACTCTCAACCACCACTCCACAACATGAAACGGCCTTGATCCCTGGCCCTACAACTGCTCCACGCCACATATCTCATGGAACTCCTATTGCAGCGCCCCCTCCCAAGACGGACGGTCCGACCGAGCAGTGAACCCAAGCCAGGCAAACGATTTCCTTCGTAGGGGCCGGCCGGCCGGCCACCACCTCAAACGGACGCGGTCACCACGTTACTCTTGGACGCGGACCCCTGCGTGACGATCACGCGCCTTGGCGGCGCAGCTGTTGCCGCCTTCGCCGTCCTCGAGGTTGGCTCGGGAGGTTTCGCGCCGGTGCTCGCGGTAGTAGCAGTGGTACCCCCTTCCTCCTCGTCGGAGGCCCCCTCGTCCTCGTGTTCTAGCAAGGACTGCAGCTCAACCGGCTGCGTGGTGTGCGTGGTGAAAAAAAAGCGCAAGCGTTCGTCGCAGAAGACAGAGATATGTTTTAAGTATTATACTAGTGATTCCTCCGGGGTGGGCTCTCATGAGAGCACGGCGGTATTATCAAGGAGTTTTTCAAGATGAAAATCAACCCGTAGTTGACATGCCAGCTGCGGTGTGACGTTTCCCAAGCTCAACAGTTCACAAAGCCGACGTGTTCGTGACTCGAACAGCCCAGCGAACCTCAAACACCAAGAAAGAAATATACAAATCTGTAAACAACCATCGTATGAAGAAGGGGGCGGGGGTGGGTCTGGCAAGCGTGTGCCTGAGACTTTAGCGCCAAGAAGGCGAAGGCAAAAACATGTACAACAGACGTACGCAACATGGTTCACGCGGAACCGGCATCAGCAGACCTGTCCCTCGTCCCGCAACGTCTGATACTGCCAGAGCGGCACAAAGGCCGCAAGGTGCAAGGTCTCGACGGGAAGAGTGCACTGGCATCAACGTGCCCTGCTACCAATCAGCGCTTTGGAATATAGCTCATCGGGAATACGAAAAGTGCATACGTGCATACCGGCTGGTAGCGAGGGATAAATATTGCCACCACCGGGCACATGTCCCCCTGTCCTCCCCCCCCCGTTGGTTCTATGTGTGGTTCGTTATTGCTGAGAGTTCAGCATTCCCTCCTCTCTCTCCCCTCCTTTCGGGGGTGGACACTCATGCCCGTATGCTTCTGGTTCCAGATTCTGACGAGTGAAAGTGTTGCGACAGGCTCGTGTACCATATTCCTGTTGGCGCCATAGGACCGCCTACGCAGGATTTTAAGAGTATCTAGAAAAAGGATAGGGAGGGGGCACGCAGATCCTTACCCTAACCCTAACCCCAAAGCACGGATTGAATACTATGTACCATATGTTTGCTTAGTCAATTTTGCTGGGTAGACTACTGGCGCCATACTACGGCTCACGAAAGCCTCTAGGTTCGTTCCTGCCCCACCTCCTGCATATGCGAATCATCACGCTTTGGATGCGAATCATGATGGCAAAAGCGTGGAAACAACAGATTGTGTTGTGGGCAGCAAAACTTCAGCAGGAGGTGCCGTGCCTAAAACCTATCAGAGGCTGCATCTTTGGGGGGGGGGGGGGGGGGCCC